TTGGTTTAGTTTTTGGAAAATAAGGGTATCTCAAAGGTCACCAGGTTTGTAATTCAGGGAAGAAAATGGGAAAAATGAAATTAAAATAGCCTTAATTAGTAAACCTAATGTGCAGCCACATAAAACCTAAGGTCCTTCTCCAGTGAGATATCAGGTGGTTAGTCTTTTCATGAGAAAATTACAGAACCAGTGTCAAAGACACAGACTGCTCCACTGGTAACGTATTCGTTACAAGGTACGAAAATCCATGTGTAAATTAGGCCCTTGGTTTTTTGTGGAGTTTCTTAATTTTTTTTTTAAAGACAGTTTTTACAGAGCATTGGCATAGACCTAACTTTGTGGAAGCCATAGAAAAATAAGGTAAATATTAATTTTAGATACAACTTGGCTACATTTACCAGGTGATCTTTATCAAGACAAGTTCAGGCTTCATCTACAAATAGGACAGAAAGGACCAATATAATACCTTGAAATTATGTGATAGTAAAGTCACTTCTTGGGCCAGGAACGTAGCTCAGTAGTGCCGCCACCTGCCTTGCAAGCGCAAGGTACCAAGTTTGACCCCCAGGACAAATAAATAAATAAATAAATAAAAATGTTAACTTCTTCTGAGTAGGGGCAATCAATGTCTTTAACCTCTATGGAAAGAGGAAAAAAAGTAGGTTTAAAAACTGTGCTCAATACAGTTATCATGAGAGGAGGATTAAGCTTCTAATAAACTATGAAAAGGAAGGGCACTACTGGGCAAGAACTATGACAAAAAGAAACCACATAAACCCTAAAACAGTGCTACATGCCACTCACACAGAATTCCTACAATACCTTGACCAAGCAGATAAAAAAGGACAAATATTTGACAAACCAAAAGAATTACAGAATTATATGTCTGTCCAAAAAATGCTTTATGGGTGCCAAGAAAGTAACAGTAGTTGGTGTATTCAGATCCACCCCTCAACCTTGACTTTTTCTCCATTCCTGAAGCCATGCTGTGAAGACAAGACCCTCAGAGCTCGCACACCATAGAGCCACTGCTTTGAGATACAGAGAAGATACTGAGGCGCATGTAACTGAGCCATCTGCTGCCAGCTCCAGTATGGTAGAAAACCTGTCATCTCTTATGGTGAGTTTGCCTAGACTGAGTGACCAATTAACCAGAACACATCACCTGAAGCCTTGATTTCAGCCTTTCAAAAAACCTTTAATGAATATCATCATTTAGATATCCAGAAACAGAGTTGTGTGGCTTGTTCTCTTCATGACATCCATAGTTTTGCTTTAAATCTTAAGGATTTCTCAACAGAAACTAGACTGATGGCACCTCATTTTATTTTGCTAAGAGGACCAGACTGTCAGCCATGTATTGAATAAGAATCTTACTCTTAAAGAGCTGATGTGCATGTCTTGAGGGTATAAATAATATGTTATTTCCAGAGCACTGCTATGCACATCTTTACTATATTTGGAGTATGATGCATTTTCAAGCTCCAATGAACTAACTGCTGAGAAGACAGGTTTATGAAAGCCATCTTGGTGGAAGGCCCAGATTGTAGTGAGACCTCTATGCCGGAGTCTCTCCACTTCTTGACATGTGAGCTCAACAGGTCAAAGGCTACTAGGACCAATGACAAAAAAAAGAATTATTACACATATAGTTTTATGAGGGGTGATGGTATGGTGGCCATCAGTCTTGATGAAAATAGTTACTACAAAGATGTCTACAGTATTGTTACAGGTAGAAGTCTTTCCAGCTGGTATCCATAGCAGACTTGTAACACAAAGCCATTCCAGCTAGGAGCAAACTGGGTTTGGCAAAATTTGATTTGAATTGCAATTGGCACATAGCTTCGTAGCTGATTCTAAAGCCTCACAGAGCTTGACAGTAGTATGAACTCTTGGTGAGTTGATCAGCTCGATACAGAGACCATTAACACAGCTGTCATTTAATGAAGATCTTTCAAGCTGATTCCTGAACAAAGTAATCTGATAACCTAAAAATGAAGGATTTGCCTCTGGTCTTAAATAGAAATCTAGCTGAACTCTTTCCAGATTCAAAATCCGCTGGTCCTTGGTTTACCAACACATACCTATATACTTTCCTTTAATCACAAGAGGATTTGGAGTCCTAAGTGCCCTCCTCTGGCCTTATTTTGGACCAGAGACAATGGCTAACCTTTGCCCAACCCTCCTTACAGCAAAATCTCCAATATTCAATTGGCCAATAAAGCATGAGTCTTTTCATTACATACTTCATTCCCAAAGTCTAGGATTCAAATATTCACTATGATCCTTCCATATGTGCATTCAGTTTATTGATGATCTTCTGCCTATAAAGTCAATCCTTTTTGAATGGGATGAAACAAGCAAAGTAGAATCTTGATGATTAATATGCCAAACACGTTAGTTCTTGTATCCATGTCATTCTGGAGATCCTTCTCCCTTTTTTCTATATCTATAGGGGTGGCTTCAGGGTTTGTATCAAACCCCCCTGGAATATGCTCTAATATGCTTTCTGATCATGACTATTAAAGTATCGACGTTGGTTACACTATTTATTGTGATCCTTATACTCATTTTCTTTAATACTCTTTTCTTCTGCAACAACAGTATTCACATCTTGTCCAAAAAGAGAGGTACCATCAAAGGGCAAATGTAACATCTCCTACTGGGTTTTCTTACCAAGAGATGTAAGTCAGAGCCAGGCCTACTTTCTACAGTCTATTGCCATGGCTATAATTCTGACCATGGAGTCCATTATGTCTCTAGTACTACAAAGCTTCCAAAAGGCCTGCATCCATATCGTCAGATATTATACACCTTGCTTTCCACGATCAAACTGTGGGTTATGAACTAAATCCTCCATGTCTTCTCAGAGTTCATGCTGGTATTGAGTCATATAAGCCATATAGCTAGCAGCTCGAGCTGAAATGAAGGCAGCATGGTAGAATCTACAACCCATGACCTCCATTCTTTTGAGGTAGAATCTAGAGATGTTGTCCTTCCTTTTCTGCTGTGCTCTAATGCTTCTACCATGGGACCCCCAACTTGCCTTTCTCTAATGTTGAATATTCTTGAACATTTTTATATGTGTTTATTTGCTATTTGCATATACACTTTGGTGAAACATCTATTCAAATGTTTTTGCTTACTTTTAAAATGTTGTACTTATCACATGTATTTTATACAAGCAAATATAAAGACCCAATTCAGAAATGGGCATCTGAGATGAAAGATATTTCTCGGACAAGAAGTAAAAGCAGTAAATAAACGTGAAAAGATGTATAACATCACTGGTCATTTGAGAGATTCAGATAAAACAACACTGAGATTCCAGCTCACTGCAGAAAGAGTGGCTGCTATCAAGAATCAACCAATAACAAATGCTGGAGGGGTTGTGGGAAGAAATGAACCCTTCTTCATTGTTGGTGGGAGGGCAGACTGGTGCAACCACTCTGGAAATCAATATGGAGATATCTCAAAGAACTAGGATTAGCAGTCCTATCTGACCCAGCTATTCCCCTGCTGCGCATCTCCCCCAAAGAATTAAAAGAATCATACCACAGTGATATGCTCATCCATGTTTATAGTGGCACAGTTTGTAATAGCTAAAACTTGGAAACAGCGTAATTGTCCATCAACAGGAGACTGGATAAAGATGATGCATTTTTTTCATAAAATGGAGCTCTACTCAGCCATAAAGAATGAGAAAATAGACACATTTATAGCTAAATGGATGCACATTGAGGACACGCTCAAGTGAAATTAATAGGACACGTGTAAATACCGAATAGTTTCTTTGGTACGATAAACTAAAAATGTCAGTAAGGATCAAAAGTATGACTGATATTGTGTAATAGGAAGAAAAGGTCTAAAGGTGTAGGGAAGTGGGAGGGGTGGGGGAAAGGTAAGAAGGGAAAAGAAAAAATAAGAGAAAAGGAAAATAATGGCAACAAAATCTTTGTAAATAGGAAAGGGTGGAGCAGGTGTAGGGAGGGCAGGGGAATGGGGAAAAAATAAGAACCAAGATAAGTCATGTAAAGGTTCAAGATCCCAATGATGAATGTAACTGTATTGTATACCTAAAATGTACCAATAAAACTAAAAAGTAAAAAACAAAGAGAGCTGGAGATGTAGCTCAGTGCAAAGGCCCTGGGTTCAATCCTGAATAACACAACAAGTAAGGTTTTCCTTTGATGTATGCTAGTGTGAACCTCCAGCATTTGGAGTGGGAATTCTCTGTCTCCTACCAAACACACATACACACACAAAGTGCTCTGAAAACAAAGTGGTCACATAAGGAAAAACTTGCATCTTTAGCTGATTCAATGATAAGAAGCTGTTTGGCATAGACTTAATAAAATCTTCATATAGAGGCAGCAGAGTAGCTGCCACAGTTTTATATAGAATATAACTAGATTTATCTTCATCCTAGAATAGCCAACCAGCTTTCCAGAAGGAGGAAAAAGTGAGGAGGGATGGAGCTATATTGGGATGAGGAAAGGGGAGCCAGGCTTGTAAATGCACTTTTAGATTTTATTTTCAGTTTCCTACTGCACCCAAAGATGAGCTAGTCCATGTCATAATGAATTTAGATACCCAAAACACACATTTTCTTGAAGTAGATATATCAGGACTGATCACATGAGAATGAAAACCAGAGGTACATGAAAATGTTAAAAATGACATTTTAACTTTATAATTTGCACCAAACAAACCTAATAGAAGCATGGACAATTCAAATCACTAATGCTGAATATTTTTCAGAATATTAAGTAAAACTTACATCTTGATTTCTCTAGTTGTTTAGAGTAAATGACGTAAATATTATCTCTTGTAGCAGAAGTGTCCAACAGAGGGGAGGAAGAAAATCAATTCCTTGGAAAATCTACACACTTGGAAATTTTCTTTAGAACAGCTTTGCAGCTATATAATCTTTTTTTTCAAATATTTCTTTGAATAAGAAAAAGCACTGGCAACTAGAGACACCCTTAGTATAGCCTTACCCCAAAGGATGAGTTCTTCCCAACAGCTTGCTGGTGTCAGGCCTCCGTATGTTCCAGCCAATACCTCAGCTACACAGTGTCCCTGAGATATGAGAAGATACTTAGACATGAACTGAAATTCCCCTTGCACTTTTCCTGAAGCAAAAGTAAAACAAATACGATTTATTTGTCCTACTTCTACAGATGCTTCCCAAATCTTATCATCGGGGCTCTGCAGAGTATGTATATGCTCAGGTCAAGTGAAAGTCTAATTTGTGCATTTTCCTTATTTCCTTAGATACACAGAACTTGCCAGTTAGACTCTGAAGTCTAAGAAAAAAATAGCATTTATAAGTGTTGATATTTATTCTCAAAGTGATAAAATATTCATTAAAATTTGCCTTCTTAATCATTTTAAGTGTAGCATCTAGTGACATTAAATGAATTCACATTATCGTGCAAGAGTCACCACCACACTCTCCAGAGCTCTTGTCATCTTGCAAAACTAGGACTATGCTCGCCCCTCCTTCCCTCTTCCCTTGCTTGCCAGTGATCATTTTCCTTTGGGTCTCTAGAATTTTAACTACTTCAGTATCTTATGTAAATGAAATCGTGCACTATTTGTCCTTTTGTGACCGACTTATTTTACTTCTCACAATGACTTCAAGGTTCACTCACATTATAGCATACATTAGAATTCCCTTCTTTCCTAAGGCTGAGTAATGTTTCATTGCAGGTACAAGTACATACTACATTTTTCTTCCCTGTCCATTCATGTACAGGGGATTGCTTCCACCTTTTAGTTGTTGTGACTGATGCTGTTATAAACCTGAGTATACAAGCATCTCTTTGGAGATCTGTTTTCAATCATTTTGAATACACTTACAAATGGAATTGCTGGATTAAACAATTCTATTTTTTTTTGTATATATACACATTGAGTTTATTGGTACATTGTTAACATTCATTATTGGGTTCTTGTACCTTTACATGATAGGTTCTCATTTTTTCCCCTTGTCCCTGCCCTCCCTTCACCCCCTCCTCTCTTCCCCATTTACAAACACTTTATTTCCATTTTTTCATTTTATCCTTTTTTCTTTTCCTTTATTGCCTTTCCCCTACCCTTTCCACTTTCCCTACACCTTTAGCCCTTTTCCTCCTATTTCACATTGTCAATTATTGCATTAACAATTCTAGTTTTACTTTGAGGAACTATTTATTGTTTTCCATGACAACTGTAGCATTTTACATTTTCAACAACTGTATACAAGGGTTATGATATTTGCATATCCTCACTGAGACTTATTTTCTGTATTTTTACTAGTAATCATTCAAGTGAGTTTGAGGAGGTACCTAATTGTACTTTTCATGTACATTACACTAATCACTAGGTGCTGAGCACTTTTCATGTGTGCACTGGCCAGTTGTACACCTTCTTTGGAGAGATGTTTATTCAAGTGGTTTTCCCATTTCTAAATCAGGTTATTTGTTCTCTTATTGAATTTTAGAAGTTCTCTTTATATTTTGGGTATTAACCCCTTACAGATATATAATATAAAAATATTTTCTCCAATTCTATGTGTTGCCTTTTAACTCTATTGTTAGTGTCTTTTGATGCACAAAGTTTTTTTAATTTTCATGAGGTCTAATTTGTATATTTTTCTTTGTTGCCCCAAGAAATTATTGCCAAATCCAGTGTCATGAAGCTTTTCCTATGTTTTCATCTAAAACCTTCATATTGTAAGTCTAATGTTTAGATCTTAATTTATTTTGAATTAAGTTGTATGTATAATGTTAAGCAAGAGAACAACTTCATTCTTTTCCTGCAGATATCCAGTTTGCCAGCACAATTTGTTGAAAAGATTGTCCTTTCTTTCTTGAATGGTTTTGACATCTTCACTGAAATCACTTAAGCATATATGGTATGGTTTAGTTTTCGGATTTCTGTTCTATTCCACTGATGTACATCCCTGTGTTTATGTTTGTATACACTGTTTTGATTATTACAGCTTTGTAATAAGTTTTGAAATCAAGGAGCATGAGTCTTCCAGCTTTTCCTTTTTCATGATTGTTTTGACTATTCATATTCCCTTGAGATTGCATATGAATGTGAGAATGGGTTTTTCTCTCTGCAAAAAATTTTTAAATTTTGATAGGCATCATTAAATTTATGTAGGACTTTGGGTAATAGTGATATTTTAACAATATAAAGCCCTACAATACATGAATATGTGATCTCGTTTCATGTATTTATCTTTAATTTCTTATTAATTTTTTGTATTTTTATTATTTGTCTTTTATCTCCTTAAATTAATACCTAAGTATTTTCTTCTTTTTATGTTTTGCAAATAGAGTTGTTTTTTGTTTCCCCTTTGGATTCTTTACTGTTAGTGTCAAAAATATAGTCAATTTTTTTGTGTTGATTTTTAATATGCTGCTGTATTCTATTTGTTAGCATTTTGTTGAGGATTTTTATATCAATCATCATAAAAGATATTGGCCTATAGTTTTATTTTTCTTGTAGTGTCTTTGTCTAGCTTTTGGTATGAGGGTAATATTGGCTAAATGAGCTAAAATATACTCTTCTCTTAAAGTTTTTTGGAAAAGGAGAGAAGAATTGGTGTTCTCTAAATGTGTGGCAAGATTTATCAGTGAAGTCATCAGTTCCAGGGCTTTTCCTTGTCAAAAAATTTTTGATTAATGATTTAATCTCCTTATTAGTTATATCCTTGTCTGGTTTTTCTATTCCTTATTGTCTTAATCTTGGTAGGCATTATGTTTCTAGAATTTTCTCCATTTCACCTTTTGAACTTGTTGGTATATGACTGTTGGTAGTACTCTTTTATAATATTTTATATTTCTGTATAATTGATAGCAATGTCTCCACTTTCACTTCTGGTTTTAGTCATTTGAGTTCTCTCTGTTATTCTAGTCTAGCTATGCAAAAATTAATTAACTTTGTTGATCTTCTGAAGCAACCAAGTTTTGGTTTCAGTGATTTCCTCTATTGTTTTTCTGTTTTCTGTTTTGCTTATATGTCCGCTAATCTTTAAATTGTTCTTTCTGCTAACTTTGCATTTGTTCTAGTTCTTTAAGTGGCAAAGTTAGGTTACTGATTTGAGACTTTTCCTAAAGGTCTTTCTTTAATACCTATAAATTTATCGGTCCTGTTTCCAATAGTTTTGGTAAGCTGTGTATTCATTTTCATCAGTCCCTAAGTATTTTCTAACTTCCTTGTGATTACTGTAATTCTTTGGTACATTAATTAAGAGTATGTTACTTAATTTCCACACACTTGTGGAATCTCAGTTTGTTACTGGTTTCTAGCTTCATCACTTCATCATATTTTGCATAGAGAAGTCTCTTGTGTTATATCTTTCCTTTAAATCTACTGATGCTTAATTTCTGACTTAATATATGCTCTGTCCTGGAAAATGTTCATGTGCACCTGAGAAGAATGTGTGTTCTGTTGGTATTATATAAAATGTTCTGCTTATGTCTGTTAGATCTGAGTTGGTTTAGTGTGTTGCTCGAGTCCTCTATTTCCTTACTTACCTTTCATTAGTTGTTCTATTCATTATACAGAGTGAGATATATAACTCTCAAATTATTATTATAACATTGTTTATTTCTCTCTTCAATTTTTCTGGTATATACTTTGATGGTTTGTCATTATATATGTAAATGTTTATGTCATCTTCTTGCTATATTGAACCTTTTATGAATATATAATGTACTCTGTCTTTTGTGAACTTTTTCGGTAATTTCACAACACTTTTATTCTCTGATATTTATACAACTATCTGTGCTATCTTTTGGTTACCATTACATGGAATATATTTTTGCATACATTTACGTTCTCCATTTCTATCTTTTGAGCTAAAATGAGTCACTGGTAGAAAGTCCGTGATTGGAGTATGTTTTTTAACTCATTTTCGAAATCTTGATACTTAAGAGGCTAATCTATTCATATTTGATGTATTGTCTTTTATGAGACAAGATTTCTGACATTTGGCTATTTGTTTCCTACTTGTGTTGTAGCTGTTTTCTCCTTTATTTCATGTATTACTATTATTTTTCATGCATAGTTGATATTTTTGTAGTAAAACATTTCCATTTCCTTCTCATAGCCAGGCATAGTGGTGAATGCCTCTAATCCCAGCACTCAGAGAATCAAGAGTTTGAAGCCACATATAAAGTTGAGGGTCACCTGTGATGCAGATCAAGACTCTGTCTCCAGAACCAACAAATAAAAATTTCCTTTTGTGTATATCCTGCAGTTATTTTCTCGGTGATTGTTATGGCTGTTACCTTTAACATCACAAAGTTATAATATTCTAATTTGAATTTATATCAGCTTAACTTGAATAAATATAAAACCTTTGTTCCTTGCCAGCTCCATCCCACACCTTTCAAGTAGCTGATGTCTCAAACTTTTTATTGCATTAATTTCTTAAAATGCAAATAAAACAAATTATGGATTTACAAAACAGAGTTCCTAGTCAATGAATGAGCAATTATAAACTAAAGTATGTTAAATTTTCCTAAAGTAGCAACTATTCAGGATCACATTCCATGTACTTTTATTAAGTCTTGCATCTTGACTTTAAACATCTCCTCACTAAAGCCTTCCCTGGTCACTGCATTAAAAAATGTATAACCTTATCTTCAACACTCCTAATATCCCTTCCCAGTATTACATTTTTCCTTAACACTTTTTATTATCTAACATATAGTTTATTTTTTTAAAATGTGTTCATTGCTTACTTGCAGAACTTGCTTATAAGCAGGGGGCAGGATCCTTTGCTTGTCCACAGCTATATCCCTGTTACCTGAAACAGTTCCAGGGATGTGATATTTGTCCAATACGTAATTGAATAAATAAGAAAATGAGATATGTTTGAGCTATGGTAGCTTTCCATCTCATATACTTTTCATTTGACGAATGAAAGCTATGGGCTGGGGATTTAGCTCAGTGGTTTGGTGGCCTGCCTTGCAAGCGCAAAGACCCAAGTTCAACCCCCGGTACCAAAAAAAAAAAAAAAA